CCAGGGTCGTTTCTCTCTCCTCCCTCCACCCATTTTGTTCCAGTTTGTCCCGCCTCTCTGGCAGTCTGGGACTGCTCGGATTGATCAGCATAAGAAGCAAGACTTTCTGCTGAGTCCATTTTCTTATCCCATAAACACTGTTTTATATCCTCCTTGGATATATTCAGGAATTGCTCCTGAGTCATCAAATCACACATTCCTTCAAAGTTAATTACACCCCTTCCTTTGACCCATTTATCTAACAGATCCTTCATCTGGTTTATATAAGCCACATTACTTAGTCCAGGTCCTCTCTTAAGGACTCTAAATTTTACTCTGTAAGTTTCAGGTGTAACTTGAAATTGCTTTAAAACCAAATCCTTGAATTTATTATAGTCAGAAGCCTCACCAATAGGCATCTTATTGACTATGTCCAGAGCTCTTCCAGTCAATTTTGCGACCAATGTGGTCATCTTGTGAGCTTCAGGAATTTGATGGAGTGTGCACAGTCTCTGAAAGGTGAGAAAATATTCAGCAATATCACTGGATTCATCATACTGTGGACATAGTTGTTCCCATTTGTGGATTGTTGGGGAAGGATTGTTAGGGTTATCCGGTATATTCTGCTGAGCCTTTGCCTTCTCTATCTCCAGTGCATGCTTCCTCTCTTTTCCCTTTGCCTCCATTTCTTTTTCTTTTTTGTCAAGGTTCCTTCCTCACTCTGAACTCTAGGGTACAGATGTGGGGACCTGCATGAAAGACCCCCGAAGCTTATTCTTACCAGCTTAGGTTAAAAACTTCCCCAAGGTACAAACTTTGCCTTGTCCTTGAACCTTATGCTGCCACCACCAAGCATGTTAAACAAAGAACAGGGAAAGAGTCCACTTGGAGATGTCTTCCCCCAAAATATCCCCACAAGCCCTACACTGCCTTTCCTGGGGAAGGCTTGATAAGAATCCTCACCAATTTGTACAGGTGAACACACACCCAAACCCTTGGATCTTAAGAACAATGAAAAAGCAATCAGGTTCTTAAAAGAAGAATTTTAATTAAAGAAAAGGTAAAAGAATCACCTCTGTAAAATCAGGATGGTAAATACCTTACAGGGTAATCAGATTCAAAACATAGAGAATCCCTCTAGGCAAAACCTTAAGTTACAAAAAGACACAAAAAGCAGGAATATGCATTCTATCCAGCACAGCTTATTTTACCAGCCATTAAACAAAAGGAAATCTAACGCATTTCTAGCTAGATTACTTACTAACTAACAGTTGTAAGGCTGCATTCCTGACTGTTCCCAGCAAAAGCATCACACAGACAGACAAACCCTTTGTTTCCCCCCCTCCCCTCCATATTTGAAAGTATCTTGTCTCCTCATTGGTCATTTTGGTCAGGTGCCAGCGAGGTTATCTTAGCTTCTCAACCCTTTACAGGTGACAGGGTGTTGCCTCTGGCCAGGAGGGATTTTATAGCACTGTGTACAGAAAGGTGGTGACCCTTCCCTTTATATTTATGACAGTGTAGCTAAAATATAATCATATTTACTTGTCCAGAGTCAGAGACAGCCCTGTGTGCAGTGGCACATTAGGGGTTTGTGGGGTCCTGGGCCAGAGCAAGTGGGGGCCTCTCCCCACCCCTTTTGCCTGCAGTCTCCCTCCCCTCTCCCCCATGCTCCCCCACAGGAGCACCGGGCAGATGAGCGGGTCAGGGCATGGGAGCGCTTCCAGTGGTCCCCCAATTGGCTGTGGCCCCTGGCATAGGACCCATTGGTCCAGTGACTAATGTGCCACCCCCTATGTGTAGGGTTGCCAACTTTCCCGGACCGGACACCATTTTGCATCAACGGCATCCAGTCAGTCTAGTCTGAGAGAGTTGGCAACCCTACCTGTGTGTAACTGTCAATACTCTTTATTTAGAGGTATTATGTCTGTGATGTGGTTTAGTAAATATTAGTGTGACGGGTTGAACCCCACTCCTGGGCTGCCACCTCAGGCACTGCGCCAGGCCCGCCAGCCTTCCCCAGCACACACACAGGTAGGGCCACACCCAGCTGTAGAATCACACAGAGACTGCCATCAGCGCTGTGGGGGGAGCCTCTGCTCAGGGAGTTGCCCAGCACTCAAGTGCACAAAACCCTTCTGGAGCATGAACCCAAAGTTATATTGTCTTGCGCTGTATAGGGAGCTACACAGCGTAAGCTCATGAAATTTGCTCCCTCCCTTAATGTGTGGGGAGAGATGCACAGCTCCTTGCCCCCCCCTTATGAATTCGTATGCAAATGTAACACTATCAGACTGGGTATGAATAGAGACTGGGAGTGGCTAGCTCACTACAAGAAGTAATTTTCCCTTTTGATATTCACACCTTCTCATCAACTATTAGGAGTAGGCCACATTCACTCTGATTGAATTGACCTTGTTAACACTGGTCCTCCGCATAGTAATGTAACACACCCATCTTTGCATGTGTATATATACCTGCCTGTGACGTTATTGACTTGAACTGGGACCATATAGAACATTGTTGCAACCAAGGTCCTGTAGTGGCACCAAATCTTGTATAAAGGGGGTCATATAAGGTGTCTAAGACGAGGTTATGGTTTACTGGTTAGGATTATGCTATCTGTTTGCATGTATCATTTTTGTATTTAAAGATATAAGTATTGGCTCTGTACTGTCTGTATTTCAAACTTATGCTGTGCTTTTGGGTGCTACCCCAGACAAGTTGGTGTCAGCTCTGCCTAGCCTGCTTGATGGCCCATTAAGGACCATGAGCTATACAACTGACCCACTGAGAGAAGGCAGACACACCTTGTGACTCAGCAAGGTATGCAGGGACCTGCCTATGGACAGAACTCTGAGGTTTTTCCAGGCCAGGTGATGGACAGCTTGTCTTTGGGACAAAGAAAAAAAGACCATATGGCAAGAGACTATAAAAAGCTGCTGCAGCTCCTCCATCTTGTCTTCAATCCTGCTTCTGAGCTCTGGAGGGACTTTGCTACACTGAAGCTTTGAACCAAGGACTGAAAGACCCATCCCAGCTGTGGATGTTCTCCAGAGACTTGATTTGAACCTGCAGTTTATTCTATCACTGCTGCAAGCCTGAACCAAGAACTTTGCCATTACTGTATGTAATTGACTCCATTTAACCAATTCTAGCTCTCATCTATATCGTTTTCCTTTTATGAATAAACCTTTAGATTTTAGATTCTAAAGGATTGGCAACAGTGTGATTTGTGGGGAAGAACTGATTTGTATATTGACTGGGGTCTGGTCCTTTGGGATCGAGAGAAGCTTTTTTCTTTTACTGGGGTATTGGTTTTCATAACCATTTGTCCTCATAAGGAGTGGCACTGGTGGTGATAGTGAGAACCTGGAGTGTCTAAGGGAATTGCTTGTGTGACTTGTGGTTAGCCAGTGGGGTAAAACCAAAGTCTTCTCTGTTTGGCTGGTTTGATTTGTCTTGGTGTGCACAGAAACCCCAGCCTTGGGCTGTAACTGACCTGCTTTAAGCAATTTGTCCTGAATTGGCACTCTCAGTTGGGTCTTGCCAGAACTAGCATCGTTACATTGCCAAACTAAAGTTTCCACTTCATGCATCTGATAAAGTGGGTTCCAGCCTACCAAAGCTTATGCCCAAATACATGTGTTAGTCTTTAAGGTGCCACAGGACTCCTCGTTGTTTAGATCAAAGCTGATTACTTAGCAAACAAACAAACAACTCCCACAATCTAAGCTTAATATACTAAAGAGGTTGGTTAAAAACAGTGGATTGTCATCTTAAGTGATGATGCATACAGATTGGCAGATTCACAAGGCACAAGCTGCATTAGCTTCACAGCTTGGGTTTCCCAGGTGTTTCATTCACAGGCTAGAAATCCTTCTAACCTGCATTCAGCCCTTCTCCCCAGTTCAGTCCTTGTTTCTCAGGTGTTTCTAAGTGTTTCTTTGGGCACAGAAACAGAGAAGAATCATTGATGGTGTCACTCCTTCCCCTATATAGCTTTAGTATATGGCAGGAATCCTTTGTCTCCTAGTGTGACCCACACCCATCCCAGTGGGAAAGTACCAGGTTAAGATGGTGGCCAGTGCCAGGTAACAGGATCACCTGACCTTGCAGTGTCAAAGGAGTCTCCTAGGAAACTTCTCAGGAAGGAGGGAGATTAGTATCTTCACAGCTCTATTGTCCTTCCTAATGGCCCATCCAGGTTGAGTGCTCACTGTCTAGTGGGCGTTCCCCAGGTGCAAACACAGTTGTAATTGCTACAGAGTCAATATCTCTAACTTTAGATACAGAATTGATACATGCATACAAACAGGATAATCATATTCAGTAACCATAGTTTTCAGAGTAGCAGCCGTGTTAGTCTGTATTCGCAAAAAGACCAGGAGGACTTGTGGCACCTTAGAGACTAACCAATTTATTTGAGCATGAGCTTTCGTGAGCTACAGCTCACAACACTGGATGTATTCAGTACCTTTCCAAGGACATCTTACATGACCCATGTTGCATAAAACATATTTTAGTTACACCATAATCATATAATAATAACATTTCTATGAAGAATGCGGGGTGCAGTGTCACTATTAGTATTTCCAACCGATCACTTATTCCGGGACAGAACGTTGTTTGGTGTCCGGTCAGAACTCAGGATTCCTTAATGCTATTCTATTCTCTAACTTCTCTTTTCGGCCTCAGACTGAGTCTTGTCCACACGGAGAGTCAGGGCTTCAATCTTCTGATGTTACAGTCATGAAGAATGAGGTTCACCCTCTACCCCAGTTTCGCACTGCAAAGGTATTGTTCATATTATTCCTAACTGTCCACAGGGGAATGTTTATTCTGGTGACATAATGTAAAAGGTGACGATTATTTGTGACATTTACTACAGTTCACCCAAAAGCAAGAGCCAGTCTCTTCACAATCACTCCTGTATTCAGGTCATTTGGAGCCCCGGAAACTTTGACTCTTCCGGGCCGGCCAGTTCTGTCTCAGCAGCCACGTGGCTGTTTCTTTAAGAGGAGATTCTCAGATCCCACCCGGGGTTGCTGCCATTTCCGAGTCCCTCTGTTACTTTCGCTTTCACACTCAGTAGATGCTGCCGGCGGACAGTGCGTTTATCCCTGTGGAACAAGAACAGGATTCTTTAAACACAATAAAATCAAAACCCAACCCTGCTAGAAAAGGCTGTGATCAGACGGCAGCTATTTGATACCCGGAAGTAGCTGGGCATCTTGATGAAATGAAATAACTTATAGTTTGAGGACTATCTCGGCAAAGCCTGAGGCTTTCAGAAGGACAGACCGCCCCCTACGCGCCATGAACCGTCTCCGGAGGATCAATCCGGTAGGTGAACTGTGGCTGCCTGACTCGGTAACAGTCAGGGCTCTGTCTTGGACAGATTGGTAATAACACAAAGACTTGAGAATCCCCTGAGAATTTGTTTTGCTCTTTATGGGAACGGTTCCGCATGTGTACGTTGAGAATGAGATGCCCTCCAATCCATTTCAGGTCGGTTTCCTAGCCCTGCCGGGTTTGTACAGTACAGTCACTAGGTAATTCCTTTCCTCTGTTCCTGTGTTTCACCAAGGATCCTGGGCCCAATCCCGTTTTTAGGGTCGTTAAGGGGAGATTTGTAACAAAGGAACTTCCTGTATTTAGAATAGAGGAAGAAACGTGGCGCTGCAAACTCAGCAGCAATCAGTAAAGTTTCCTGGCCTGCTTGTTGTCGGTAGTTTTCGAGCTGTCTGTGGGGCTGAGTCCTTTTGCTTCTGATGTTTTAAAGGAAAAAACGTCCAGTTTTGCCCAGAATCAATGGAAAGAAATTACTTTATTCATTTTGAGATCAGTGGGAATTAAGCATGTGCCTAAAGTGAAGCACCCTTTGAAATGTGCTGAATAGGAATGGACTTAATGACTGAATCTGGGCCAGAATCTTTAATGCAATTAGACAATGAGGGGATGTCACCACTTGTAGCTTGGTACTGGTCTTCTGTATGCGTGTCAAGGGATCCACAACAACCAGAGTGATCAGTTTGTACACATTGCATTGTTGTCCTGTGATAACTTAATGTTGCCTCCTGTCTTTGTGGCCACAGAGCTGTAGAAGGGTGGCTAGCAGGGGTGATTTTTATGGTCCTGGGTTTAGGGAAGATTTGATGGCATAATGGCAAGAAAGGCCCATGTTACAAACTGTGAGACAGGTTATTCCCTGTGTGAAAAGCTGTCAGCGGGGAGAATTCATGAGGGTATCTCTGTGCCCGATTAAAAAAAGGGGAATTATTTTTCACCCCAAAAATTGCATGATTTTTGTTTGATTGACTTGAAATGTTTATGGAACTTTCCATTGGAAAAAAAAACAGCTTGAAATAATTTGGAAAAAAAATGAATGGACACAAACACTTTGATTTTGGGGGAGTGGGTTTAAAAAAAAAAAAAAAAAAAAAACCACTATTATATAAAAAAAAAAAAAAAAACACAATACTTAATTTAAAAAAAAAAAAAAAAAAATAAAAGTAATAATTTATTTATAACAATACCATCCAACCCATCTTATTTCTCACCCCCCCACCAAACAAAAAAAGGGGGTGAAGGGGTGTTATAATAACCCCCACCCTTAGAGGGGCTCACGCAAACCCACGGCCAGGTGGCCTGGACGTGAGGAGGGAGGGGGGGCCGCCGGCGGCCCCGGGGTGGCGGGCGGGGGCCCCCCCCCCCCCCCCAACCCCCCCCCTCCCTCTATCTTTTTTTTATAGAGTTTTTTTTTTTAGGCTTTTCGGGGGACCTCGTCCAAGCTGCGGCTGAATCAAGCAACAGAAGGCACAACCCGGCGGGCGCCCCGCGGCGGGGAGGTGGTTGTTTTTTTTTTTTTTTTCCTTTTTTGGGGGGTGGGGGGGGGGGGCGGGGCCCCCCCGGGGGGGCGGGGTGGTTTATTTTTCTCCTCTCTCCCTCCGCGGGCGGCAGACGATGGTGGGCGGCGCCCCCCCCCACCATCTCTTTATAACCATCACCAAACCACCCACCCACACACACACCCCCTCTCTCTTTATAACAATAATAATAAAAAAAAAAAGAAAAAAAAAAAAAGGGGGGGAGAGTGTGGGGGGGTTTTTTTTTTTTTTTTAAATTATTTTTTTTTGTGTCTCTTTGTGTGGGGGTTTGTTTTTAAAAAAATTTTTTTTAAAAAAGACCCCCTCTTAAAAATGTAACAAAACAAATAGCACCTTGAAAATTTCACACAAAAAGGGAGGGAAACAGTACCAAAACCCAAAGACCTCTTAATTAGTAATACCCTGGAATTTAAACTATGGGGAATCAAACTCATTTGTGATTTTAATACAGAACTTCTTTAATATGATCCAACAAGTGTTGCAGTTCTCAAAGTGTGGATTTGTGTCTCCAGAGATAACATGCTTTTTAACACCAAAAATGTTTTAAAATAAATAATATATAGAGGTGAGAAATAACAGACCTCAACCCTACTGTCCCTCTGCAAATTTGTGTGCACAGAGTCAATCCCTTACCTCTCTCTAAAAGTGCAAAGTTTCAAAATGTTAAATAAATAGAAGATTGTTGGGGGCAGAATAGATCTGGAAAAGGAGAAGTCTGGAAATAAATGTGAGAAGGACAGGCAGTCGAAACAAAAGTAAAACTGTTTGAGCAGCATATTCCAGAAGTCTTGAGGTCTTTCTGAGTGTAGCCTTCATTGATTTGAGATCTACCATACCATTCTCTCACTAGAAGGGAAAACCTATAATGGCAGCAGGCCGTAAAAGAGACCCAGTTTGGGAATATATTAATGAAGTTCCTCATTCCTTCACTTCCTGTGAAGTAACACAGGCATGCTTGCAAAATGCAAACAGTGCAACAAAGAAACGCAAGGCCTTGTTGCCCAAATGAAACAACATCATGAGAAGTGTTCATTCTCAGGAGGAAGCTGTGTTGAAGATTATGAAAGGAACACGTCTGAACATGCAGGATCTTCAGGTTGGTAAACTTTTTTATTTCATACTTCTTTCTTAAGGACTGCCTGTCTTCCTTCTGGACTATTCTTGAATTCTCATGTTTGAGCAAAAAATATAGTTGTTACTCTATGGTACTACCATTTTAGATGCAGTTGTGAGAAAAAATAAATGGCTGAAATAGGCAGATCTTCCTTTTACAATTTCACCTTTAAAGTAGTACTGAGTGTCAGTGAATGCAATGAATCACACTAAATGAGCAGTATGGTAATAATAATTAAATAACTGCATTGACTTATTTTGTTTAGGAGAATCCATTCTCAACATACAGGATTCTGAAGACCACCTTCAAGATCACCATCATTTTCGATAGTTTCAGAAAAAACAACAGAGAGTCTTGTGGCACCTTAAAGACTAACAAATTTATTGGAACATAAGCTTTCGTGGGCTTTAGCCCACTTCTTCAGATGTGGGAGTTTAAACTGGAGTTTGGCAGGTGAATAAATATATACTTACAGAGATGGGTGTGGAGCATTATTATGCAGAGGACCAGTGTTACAGAGTCCAAGACAATTAGGGGGGAGGTGGCCCATTACTAGCTGTTAGTGAGAAGTTGTGAATACCAAAAGTGTGAGAATGTTTTTTGTAGTGATCCAGCCATTCCCAATCTTTATTCAAGCCAAGTGTGATACAATCAAACTTGCAAATGTATCCTAGCTCAGCTGTTTCATGCAGGAGTCTGTTTTTGAAGTTTTTTTTTAAGTATGGCAACTTTCAAATTTGACACTGAGTGTCCAGGGAGATTAAAATGCTCTCCCACTGGTTTTTGAATGTTCCCATTCCTGATGTCCAATTTGTGTCCATTTATTCTTTTGCGTAGAGACAATCCAGTTTGGCCAATGTACAGTTTCAGTTATCTGCCAGTGATAGTGTTTCAGTCGCATCATGTATGTCACATAGCCACAGTATATCACCTATAACAAAAAAACAAAAACAAAAACGAACTCCATCATCCAGAAACAGCCATAGATAAGTTTGTGATAAGAACCAGTGGATTACAAAGAGAGGCAATTGATGAAAAAATTGCCTGGTTTGTTTATGCAACAAACTCTCCTTTCTGTATGATTGAGAACTCACACTTCTTTAACATGGTTCAGTCATTAAGACCAGGATAAAGTCCACCCAACAGAGCAGATGTCACAGGCAAATTGCTGGATAAAGTGTATGAAAGAGACATTGAACAATGTGCAAAAAAGGCTAGAGGGTAAAATTGTTAACCTGAGTCTTGATGGGTGGAGCAATGTCCACAATGATCCTGTTGTACGTGCTTGTGTGACAACAGAAGAAGGGAACGTCTTCCTTACAGAAACAATTGATACATCAGGAAATGCACACACAGCAGAACACTTACAAGAAGTAGCAGTAAAAGCTGTAACAAACTGAAAAAAAAATTCAAGTGTCTAGTACGCAGCTTGGTAACAGACAATGCTGGAAGTGTATCCAAGATGAGAAGAAATTTAGAAGAGAGTCTCAAGCTAATAACAAGCGGTTGCAGTGCTCATTTGATGCACCTTCTAGCCACAGATCTCAGTGTTCCAGAAATAAAGGTTAATGTTTCTGAAATTGCAAAATACTTCCATAACAACCACTTTGCAGCAGCTGCTCTGAAAAAAAATGGAAGGAACCAAGCTAATACGCCCACAAGACGTGCGATGGAACTCAGTTGTGGACCGTTTTGAGCACTAGATCATGAACTGGCCTAATCTGATGACAGTTTGTGAACAAAATCGTGAAAAAACAGACGGCACTGTCACAGCCAAAGTTCTCAACATTGGGCTTAAGAGAAATGTTGAACACATGCTGAGTATCCTGAAGCCTATTTCTGTAGTCTTGAACAAAATGCAGGGAAACAGCTGTTTTATTGCTGACACTGTTGAAATTTGGAAGGAACTGAGTGAGATCTTAAAAAGAGAAATGTGCAATGACAGAGTTAAATTACAAGCATTAAAAAAACGAATGGGACAACAAATATTCTCAATACTCGGTATCAGGGTCAAACCTTAACTGCTGAAGAAGAGGAGTTGGTTATGACATGGGCATCCAGCAATCATCCCTCCATAATGCCAACTATAATAAACTTCAGAGCTAAGGGTGAACCATTCAAGAAATACATGTTTGCTGATGATATTTTAAAGAAAGTCACACCAGTGAACTGGTGGAAGTCACTTAAGCACATGGATTCAGAGACTGTTGAAGTGATTATCTCACTTTTAACAGCAGTAGCTTCTTCTGCCAGTGTAGAAAGAATATTTTCTTCCTTTGGACTAATTCATTCTAAACTGAGAAATCGTTTGGGACCTGAAAAAGCAGGAAAGCTTGTTTTTCTTTCCTAGATTATGAACAGATGACTGAGTTAACTGCAGAAGCCAATATTTTACGTTTCTCATGTTGACCTGGCTGACATAGTCAATTTAATTTTTGTTTTGTTTTTTAAATATTTAATTTAACTATTTTAGTTAAAAAGAATTTTAACAAAAACAAACCTGGTTTTAAAAACCTTGAATATTTAACTAAATTCAAAAATTCATATGCTTGTTTTGTTAAAATATTCTATGTTTGCTGTTGAAGAAAAAATCCAGAATACATAACGTTGTTGTTGTTTTAGTTAAATAAAACAATTTAAATGTCGGTCTGGTGATGTTCTCCTCCTAATACAGCATGGCAAGAAAATCCTCCAAATATTAATGATTAACCCGTTGAATTGGAGATCATTCACCTCCCAATGCCTTCATAAATATCTGCTTCAATTACCTTTGGTAAATGAAATAACCAAGCAATCATTCATTGTCTGATATAGCTGTAAAACTAATCTGAAAAGTTTTGAAAATAAATCACTGTTTAAAAATGTATAGTGTGTACCTTCTAAAAATGAAACCTACATCTACCTCTGACTTGTGAAGAATATGTATTAAGGTTATAACAACCAACAAGAATGCACTTTTATGTAGAAAACCAGGATTAAATGGAGTCTTTCTGACTAGTGATTTAAATCATGATTAAATGAATTTGATTTAAATCAAATCCACCCTGTTTGATAAAGTATTTTTCTCTTCCCCATCCTGTTATCCAGATCAAGTTACAGTGAAGATGAAGGTTCTTTCATTTTGTCCTAGCTCCGCAGTGAGCTCCTCTCTGACTGGTTGGATCATTTTCTTCCTTACTTTTCACATTCACAAGCTGGAATCAGGTAGGAATCCCATTGCTCCTGCTGCTGCTTGTAGGATTTGTTTCATCATAGTGATCTGTAAATCATGCCTGTTCTACTCCTTTATACAAAACTGAAAAAGACAAAACAAAAAACCTTACAACAAATCCCAGAACGGATCAATATCAGTACAGAATAAGTCTCCACTTCCTCCCCACCCCTTCAGGAGGAGTAATTCTCCATCACCTGCACATGATGCAACTCAGTGTCTCTATATATCTAGGTACTTGTATGGCTTTCATCACCATAGTATCTGAATACCCTATGTTACATGCTTACATCCTCTTTGACCCAATCCTGTGTCAAACACCGAGGCAGCCTGGCCTGTAGCTGAAGAGATTTGGGCTCAGTGAAGCCAAGGCAAGAAGTGAGTCCCAGAGCTGAAGACCTTTTACTGAAAATGTTCTGGCAGAGGCCCAGGCCTACTAAAAACAGCAGGAGAGGGGCAGAGGAGAACTCGAGAACCTCAATTGTTCTCAGAGAAAATTGTGTCCTCATACGAGGTGAGAGGTGGTGGTCTCCAAAGAAGCTGGGTCCCAGAACATTTGGGTGAAATCCTAGGAGATCTCTGTTGACTTCAATGGAGTCAGAATTTCATCTTTTTCCCCCTTCTCACATTAAAACCAACACTGAGAAATCACATCAGAAATATAGTGAAGGCTGGTTTCAGAGTAGCAGCCGTGTTTAGTCTGTATTCGCAAAAAGAAAAGAAGGACTTGTGGCCCCTTAGAGACTAACCAATTTATTTGAGCATGAGCTTTCGTGAGCTGCAGCTTGAACAGATCACAGAGCTCAGGTACACAGGGTATATACTCAGGTCACCCTGCCCATTCATGGGGCACTCAAATGGCTCTGTGGCATGTCAAATTAATATAAGGGGAGTTATCAGTGACACCTATACCTGAGCTGGCCTGTCACTTTCTACTATAAATGCCTTTTTGAGTTGTTTGTAAATTTGCCAGATTTCAAATATTCAGGTTGAAAATTTGCATGCCAGGCTGAATTTTTGGAAAGGTTGAACCGACTGACCTTTTCGTTTATCGCATTTCCCACTCCCCTCTAAGCTTGTTCTCTTTTTGCTTTGGTGTATTTCACAGCCAAGTTCAGAGTGACCGGTCCTGGTCACCCTGTCACTGCCAGGATGGGGGAGGCCATTGTGTTACCCTGTCACCTGTCCCCCAGGATAAGCGCTGTGAACATGGAGGTGAGATGGTTCTGATCTGAGTTCACTTCAGTTGTTCACCAGTATTATGAAGGAAAGGAGCAGTATGGAAAGCAGATGACAGACTATCATGGAAGAACAGAACTTTTGAAAGCTGGCATCATGGATGGGAATGTTTCCTTGCAGATTCTTAATATCAGACCATCAGATGAAGGACAATACAACTGTTTTGTTCAAGATGGTCCTTTTTATGAAGAAGCCCTATTGGAACTGAAGGTAGCAGGTCAGCAGCTCTTGTCTGTATTATCTTAGTCTGGGCTGCAGTTTTTATTCTGTCGTACTGCAACAACTGTGACTAGCAACTTGTGAATTATTTTAGAGTAACACAGCATATCTAGATTTCAGCACACGACCACATTCAGACACTTTGGAAAATATGCTGAAAACTTTCCCAATATTTTATTAAAGACCTTTTCAGAATGGTCAAGAGACTTCCTTGCCCAAAAGATGTTCTTGACTGACTCCAAAAGGCGGGAGAGAAAGGAGGGAAAAAACTTCTAGACAAATATGGGCCTGGTTTACCCTAGGCTCCCTTGACACCTTATTTGACACATCTTGTACAAGATGCTACATAATTATATCGTAATCATACCATAACCATATGGTGTTTATGGATTGCAGAGTGTCCTAGTGGGAAGGGGAAATTATGTATTTACCACTCTTAGTCAAGACTTTTTCCTTTTTTCTCTTTTTCTTCTTCTATGATTTCAATTTAAAAAAAAAAAAAAATAAAAATTATATATATATATATAAAATATTATAAATATATTTATTAAAAATTAAAATATATTTTTGATATTTTTTTTTCATTTTTTCCATATCTGTGCTCTTCTCTCTCTCTCCTCTATCATCTCCCACTATAACTAAATAATTATATATATAATTTATTTTTTATAATTTTTTTTTTTTTTTTTTTTTTTTATTATTTCATTTTCCACATCATTCTTCTCTCTACTCTCCTCCCATCTCTACTCATTTCATTTCACAGTGAGTAAAGTGCCCCATACCCCGCCTCCCTCCCCCTCCCCTTTTTCCTTTATTTATTTAATTTTAATAATTTAATATATTTAATTTATGTCGTTTGGCTCTTTCCCTCCCCCGCGGGGCCGCGCGCCGGAGGGCGGGGGGGAGGGAAAGGGGGGGGGAGGTGGGGGGGGGGTGGGGGGCGCGGGGGGGGGGGGCGGCGGGGGCGAGAGGGGCCCCCCCACCCCCCACCCCCCACCACCAAACCAAAAACACCAAACACAAAACACAAAAAACAAACCGCAAAAAAAAAAACAAACAACCAAAACAAAAAACCACAACATGGCACCAGGACCCACGCCAACAAAAAAAAAAAAGAAAAAAAAGAGGCAGGAAGAGACGAAACCCACCAACCAACCCACAAACCACCCAACCCACCAAACAAAAAAAAAAAAAAAAAAAAAAAAAAAAAAAAAAAGAAGAGAAATGTGAATAACCCAAAAAAAAAAAAACAAAACAGGAGGGGAAAGAGGGTGGAGGGAGGGGCGCCTAGAAAACAAAACAAATTCATCTAAACTGAATAAATTAAAGTTAATATAATATTTAAACTTAAATAGAAACCAATCCCCCTATACACCTGGTTGAAGAAGAACTTTAAACTCCAAATTTTTTTTATTGATTAATATTATAATTTTTTGATTTGTTCTGGATGTTGAGTGCGCGAGAAACCCACAAACACACACACAAATAAACCCCCATATCTTCCGGGGGGGGGGGGGGGGGGGATGGAAGAGGGATAACAATTTTGTATCTACGCAGAGCTCTAGTGATCTGCTCACTTCACCAACTTCATTACTTGTGTGAAATGTCACCTAAGTCATGTGATATTGGTTTTACCGATGTTCAGTGGGACTTGTGCTCCTTAATTCACTTTGGTCTGGATCCACAAGAGGACTCATTTTACCCCTTGTCTACATGCAAAAGATGCGCTGATTAACTAGTTAAGCGATGCCACCCACTTGTGTGAAAACTTCTTGTATAAGTTTCAGAGTATCCTAAATAGATTTAGCTTCGGTCAATTCTTTATCGACTTCAGCTAAATGGAGATAGAGCACTATGAAGCTGATTTATGATTTAAGGTTTTATGCATCAATTTATTTAAATTGGTGCAACTCTGATATCTTGTCAATTTAAGAATGACCCCATAAGAGGGTTGCCCCAGGTTCCCTAAATCAGAGCACAAACCATGTGTGGAAAAGACATTCGGCACATTTGAAAATTCCATCCTGTTTAGATGACCGAATCACTGTGAACAGAAGAAGAGCAAATGGAAATTACTTAATTTGCTGCACAAGTGTTTGGACAAATTGTGATTATGGTTTTTCCCAAAATTAGGAGGTAACAGTGGATTTTTCAAAAATATGCTAATTAATCTGGCAGTTTCTGAATATTGCTTACTGCTAAGGGCCAAATCCTTTTCTGGTATAAGCCTATTGGAATCAACGGGGTTTTATGAGCAGAGAATTTGCCCCTGATCTTTACGGCCCTCTGAATAGCAATGAATCAAATCAGGGTTGTGTTTTCAAGCATAAATCAGTGGTAAAGCTGTGTTGATTGGAGCCATATTTAAAAATCCATTTCTGGTATTTTGTGTTGGGTAGATATGGCCATTTGTTAGGATATAGATATTCAGGCCTGTCTTTAAAGGCCTATACTCTAAGAATTTAGGTGTATTCTTATCACTTAGCTAGTTCTAGAGGTATAAAAGAAAGAATCAAAATCACTGTCTGCCGGTGTAAGGGCCTTCTCTCACTGTGACAGTCTGAGGCCCTGTGCTTAGGCTAAGATTTTTGGCTAAGCAGCAAAGGCAGCCATAAACTGGGAAGCGAATGGTCAGAGCCTCACATTCCAACCTAGTCACATTAAAATCAGGTGCTTTTGGGCTGTTAGGAATACGATCCTGTCCTGATAATGCCTATCGCCTCCAGAGAAAGGGAAGTGCCTAGAAGATGTAAAAGGAAACTTAGTTTGATAGCATCCTGTCTGGCAAGAACTCACTTATCAATAGCTGGGATGTGAAATCCTCATTTCTTTGTTGTTCTATCACTGTAGTCCCCATTTCCCTATTGTTTGTCTGTATAATCTCTGTCTGCTTCTGTGATTGTTCCTGTCTGCTGTATAATTAATTTTGCTGGGTGTAAACTAATTAAGGTGGTGGGATATAATTGGTTAAATAATCATGTTACAATATGTTAGGATTAGTTAGTTAAGTTTCAGTAAAATGATTAGTTAAGGTATAGCTAAGCAGAACTCAAGTTTTACTATATAGTCTGCAGTCAATCAGGAAGTGTGTGTGGGGGAGGGAAATTGGAATCATGTTTGGCTAAGGGCAGGAATGGGAACAGGGACACAGGTGTAAGGCTCTGTGGTGTCAGAGCTGGGAAGGGGGACACTAAGGAAGGAAACTGGAATCATGCTTGCTGGAAGTTCACCCAAATAAACATCGAATTGTTTGCACCTTTGGACTTCGGGTATTGTTGCTCTCTGTTCATGCGAGAAGGACCAGGGAAGTAAGTGGGTGAAGGAATAAGCCCCCTAACACCATTCTTCCACTCTTAGCTCACACAAATCCTGCTGGGCACTATTTATGTATTTGTATGAAAAAAAAAATCTGCTTTTAGTCACCACTTCCAAACTAAGGCAAGCCCTGGGTGTTTTGTTTTTCAGATCCCTTTTTCCCGAGGGTGAATCCCTGGATGGTGGCGCTGAGTGTGACCGTGGTGGTTTTGTTTGGTTTCATTGGCCTCACCATTTATCTCTTTAAAATGAAAGGTAAATATCAGAGGGAGAAATATACTGTAAATAAAGGTTTTTTTCTAATAAATAAATAAGGGCAATTTAGGAATTTAACATGAAAAGAACGTGTGATCCGCTGATCTGGTCCTAAATAAAGAAGAATGCTCCACTTTTTCCCCCAGCCCAGCTCCCACGCAGCTCCACTCCCCCGCCTGCCCTGCCTCCAGCCCAACTCTGCCCACAATCCCTCACCACTCCCAGCCCTCTATTTCCAGCTCTTCCCTTATCCCCAGCTGTGCTTTCAGTCCAAGCTCCTGGACTCAGCCAACTGTGGTGTAATGGACATGGGAGGAGGGGCTGAGACAGACTCTATTACTAGTAAGTGGGGGGCGTGTCAGGAAAAGTTTGGGCACCACTGATCTAGTCTGATCACCTTAAGAGGAGTTTGATTAGAAATAATCTCTCAGTCTTAACTGTCATATTGATGATAATGAGAAATAAAACATAAGAAAAGGGAAACTCCTAACAAACAATACGGGTATTTCTCTTTAATTTTTAGGCAAACGAGATTGTGTTTAAATGTTGTGGAGTTCACTGTAAAATTTAAATTCTACAATTTTTTTGTAATATGAAACCTTTTTTTGTTTAGTTGCTTTTTATTCTTATTCTTTTGTGGAAGGGTTAGTGTTGTTATTGTATAAAATGTGGGGAACCACTAAAGTGGAGAGATTTCATACCAAAAGCCAGTTTGAAAAACTGATATGCAATACAGTCACAGTGTTTAAGACCAGAAGGGACCACTGGATCCTCTTGTCTGATGTCCTGAAGAAGACTTTGATTTCTCTCAGCCTTTACTGTCATATTGATGATAAGGAGAAATAAAACATAAGAAAAGGGAAATGCCTAAAAAAATCTATTTATTTCTCTTTCTTTTTCAGAGAAACGAGATAACGAGATAAGTAAGTATCATTATCCTTCCTCTGAAATGAAACTTTTTGTACCATTTTGGAGTCTCACATGGCTGTTTGTTTAATTGTGGTGGGGTTGTTTGCTTTTAAATTTAAATTTTAAAATTGTTGCAATAGGAAACCTTTTTAGTTAGTTTGTTTGGTTTATCATCATCATCATGATTCTTTTGGGGTTTGTTTGTTAATGTAACTTTATAAAAGGTGGGGAAAGACTAAACTGGATGAATTTCACACCAAAAGCTAATTTGAAAAATTGATAAGCAATACAGTAGTAAAGTAGGTAATGGCCAAAAATATATGTCCCAGGAGGAATTGTTCGAAGGCCCTGGTGG